AAAAATTATATAATATTAACTTTGTATAATTATATAGAAAATATTCTTTCATAAAACATATATTTAAGTACGATGTGCTATAATAAATATATCTTAGAGTGTACATATACATATAAAATACATGTAATTAATTTAGCAAGTAATATATTGAGGAAAAAAAAATATTCTCTACAATGTATATCAATTATAATTATTCAGTTCTTTTTTCAGTTAAAATATATGTGATAGAAAAAAAGTCATAATTTTTTTAAAAATATAATATGTATATCCCATATAATTTTGATGATGTAATATCTACGAATATAATAATATATTCAACATTCATTATAAGACAAACACTATATGTTCTAAGATATTTTATGAATCATAAACCTAGAATTAACTCCTGAACAACTGAACCCATTATAATACTATATATGTTTTTTCAATACATAATTATAAAAAGATTCATTTTTATTTAACATGGTATTCCACATCTTATAACTCCATTATTCTACATAATTGGATATATAACAATATATTTATTTTATAATATATTTATATATTATTCATCATTTAATTAGATATAAAATAATTTTATATTTCACTAAAGTTCCTTTCTGAATATATTAATATACTAATACTGATTATATTTTTTTTAATCTTTTATTTTGTTATATTATGACATAAAATTATGTTTTTTATATAATATTAATATTCCATATATTTTGTAAAGAACAGTATATTATGCACATTACATTAAAATATTTCCATAATGATACTTTATTTTTTCTGTATTAAATCATACAAATAATGTGTATTTTTATTCATTTGCTGCTTATTTAGAATATATATATTTATATAATTATCATTTTACTTACTTCAATATAGCAGCCACTTATTTTTTAACTATTGATTAAACGACATTGTATCACTAATTATTCTGAATATTTCTTACTAATAGTACTCTGATGAATAAGCTATTTGATACTTCTTATCCACTGAATTTTTGTATATCATTTCAAATGAATTCATTAAATCATTATGCCTTTTACTTTTTTTTTTAAGCATACTTCTTAAACCTTTTACACCATGTTTTAGAAGTGAACCATAGTTAGTGTACTGAAAATAAAGAAATATGAGTGTTTGACTATATATAAAATATTTAAATGATATATTTTTATTTTACGTATATATATTGTTATTCTTGAATAAACATGAATTTAATAAATTTAATTTATATATAGCTTTAAAAATTACGAATACACTTGCTAATATTATAAATGGTAAAACAACTACTTCTGTCCCTGTGCCCGTTAATGTATCCGTCATTGCACTTGCACTTGTGTCGGTCTCTGTTACTATCAGTGCTTCGGTCGTATCCCTTATATCTGTCACTTGGGTTATGTTTTCAATTAATATTTCCGGATGTGAATGTTATCCGATTTCAGTTACAACATGATTAGGGCATTCTTCATGATACCGATTTTCAATGTTACCAATTACGTCCTGTAAACTTTTGTTGGCACTAAAATCACATGATCTTAATCTTTTTATGTTTCCTTCGCATTCTTGACTATACTGCTTACATAAATGTTGATTTCTGCTTAAATTATTAATGATACCATATAGTATATTCATAAAATAAAATATACCATATAAATTTTCTTCATCAATATACAAATCTTGAAGATGAACATTACATACTTTAGGAAGCTCTATTAAATTGGCATTTCGACGTTTCCTTTTCAAAATATTGTAACAATTTTGTCTTTCATCGAATTTACCATTATATTTTTTCACTAGATCCATTAGATTGTAATAGAAACATATACAACTTTCTTTGATATTAGGGATTGAATTTGATTTACTTTTTCCTTCTATATCTTTTAAATAAAAAAGCAGTGGTATACACAATTGATGGAACTTCTGCTGATCATGTTGCACACCATTTATATTTTTCTAAAAATATTTACACACTGAAGAATACACAGTATAATATGGTTCATCACTCTTCCAACTATACAAGCTAGTATAAAACCAATTTTTACAATTAGGAAATATACCAGTAAAAGTAAACTAAGGAGTAATTTAAAAATACATATAAATATATAAATTAATTTTTTAAAATATATTTCTTAATTGGTTTTCAATGATACATATGTATATATTTTTATATAAAATAAAATGTGATTATATTAGTATTAAACTTACATTTTTCTTCGGACTTTCTTCGTCAAACATATTGATTTATATAAATAAATGAATGAAAAATAACTATTATTTTATTATTTAAACACAATTTATACGTTTCAAAAATATAATAATAAATAAATTTCCAAAAATATATGTTAAATATGTTATAAATTATATGAAAATAAAATTTTTTCAAATAAATATTTTTAAATTACTAAGCATAAGTTTAAAGCAGACGATATTATATATTCATGCAAATAGGAATATATATTCATATAATCATTATATTAAACACACATTTAAAATCATGGAATAATGTAAATATAATAAATGATTATTTGTACTTTCATAAATTATTTATATATATGTAATTTTATAAAAAATGCATTATCCTCAAGAATAGTTAAAAAAATACAAATTAATATAATCAATAATAATATTATAAAATATCGTTTAATATATATTTATTTTATTATGTAAAATATATATAAATTGATATTGTTATAAGACGAGTGTATTTATAGTTTATTGTTGAACGATTTATGCTTAGGCATTATATACAAAAAACTGAATGTTTATTTTTCAGTAATTCTTAATTACAGAATGAAAATGAATCAACTTTTATTTTGTTCAATTATAGTTATTATTATATAGTTATACGTATACATATATAATATTCAGTATCTTATATTATGATAATATAGCATTATATTGCATATTATGTGAATATATGATATATAATAGTATTAGCCATATAAATATATTTATCCATACTAAACATAGCTACTTTGAATAAAAGCATATTATATTTATATATAATTAATATTAATATCACACATACATATAATTTTATGTTGAACAATTATATATTTAACTTGTATGTAAAATTTATAATAAAAATATTTTAATATTAATCGCATAAAATAATGCTACAAAATGAAATAAAGATTAAATAATAAAAAAGAATAAGATTACTATATAATGTCTTTATTTATTTCGTTTATAAGCGCTTATTGAAGCTAATATATTCCTGTATTACAAAGAATCGACTACTTTTTTTTATTCTGAACTAATTCAGTTAAAATTACTATTGCAAAAATATACAAGAGGAAATTGTAGGAAGCTGAAATAAATTATTTATGACAATTTACATTCCATATTATTATTACTCAGAAATATGGATATGAATATTTGTATTTGACATTCCACTTATAATATAACGAATAAATTTTGATATTCGCTTATATATATTTTTCCATATATATTTTATTAATTATAATTTTCTTTAACTATGAATATGCTATAAAATAGATAGTATGAGAAATAATATAACCTTATTTTAAGGTTTTCTTAACATTTATGAAAATACTCTTATTTATAAACTGTAATTTATATAATATTATATATTAAAGAAGATAATAAATAAATGCTAAATTAAAACTATAATGATTTAAAATTTGTATGAATTAAGAATAGTAGACTTTTTCTATTTTTCATTATTTTGGGATTTAGTGTATATGGTATTTATTAGGTCAATAAATGTTTACTAATTTCATCTTTCGCTTGGGACATCAATATTATATTTATTTAGGATTACAATATATGTAAAAATTATTTTTTGCATATTATAATAAAAAATAATTTTGTTAATTTATTATAATCAAAAACTTCATAATGATGCAAATTAATTTATTTTGATATCAATTGTACATTTCATAAGGAATAAAACTAATTATATAAGACACTGCTTACGTTTTATAGTAAATAAAACAATAAATTCAATACACATGAAAAAGGAATTATATAAAATATTATTTCATTTCAATGATGTAAAACAGAAAGGTGGATATTAAAGATACATGTATATATAGTATCAATAATAAACATATACTCAATGAATAGTAAAAAGGAATTACTAATATTATATTGGTTATAATTAGAACATGTGAAGCTACATTATATATTTAAAAAGAAGACAAAATTAGAAATTGAATTGTATATTTACACTATTTTTTTAGTTTTAATATATCTAATGAGCTATAAATAGCATGTTTCTTATCTGATTTACATCACATATTATAATTATATTTTAACTACTTCTTGGTATAATGAGTTCTGTATTTCTCCGAGTATATATTATTATCATCTTAATAAATATTTAAAAGGAACATCCCATATACTTTTTTCATATTCCTCATTTCATTCGTAGTAAATATTATTTTCATGTAATCTTTGAAAATATACCATTCAATACAAATATAGCGCACATAGAGTAAAACACAGATATATTTTTTGAAATAGATACTATTTAAAACTACTTTAAAATTATTATATATATATTAATATAAGTTTATGCAACTAAGTTAATTAATTTTAACATAAATCGCAGTTTTAATTGTTCCAAATATATATTTTATTCATTAGAAATTTATTTATATAATAATTCGAGCTTTTGAAGATGTATTACTTTTTATAAAAAATTGAAAAATTAGTTTATCATCAAAATGATATTTAAAGTTTTTATTAACCAATTACACACTTATAATAAATTTAAAAATACATGCTAAGATAAAAAAAATTATAGAATGACAATTATCTATATATCATTTGAATAAATGTTGATAAAATATATATAATTGAAATATACAATTGATTTAGTACTTTAACACATATTAAAAAAAATTTCAAATATATATATATATTGCGCTTCCTAAGGTTATATTTTATAAAGGTGCAGATAAAATAAAAAAAAAAAAAATGAAATATATTAATCTCATAAGCATATTATTTAAAATGTTGAAAAAAATATAATTTACGCATAGCTTTCGGTCTTCTATGTATAAGAAATGGCTAAATATTATATTAAATCTTCAGGTTCTTATTTTTTTCCGTATACACATTAACATAATAATTAATATTGATGACATTTACTTTATTATTTAGTAAATTAAAATAAAGAAAAAAACATATACACAGAGCACATAAAAAAAATTATAGAAAAAAAAAAGAAGAAATATATACATAATAATAGTATATATAAAAGCTGTATATGATTATATTATTAAAATGATTTTATAAACTTTTTTAAAAATATCTATATCAACATTATATATTACATGAACCGTAAAAAATTAAATGTACTTTTTATAATATATTCGAAGTAGTTAATTAATTAAGAATAAAATTATAATATATATTAGAACAATTATATATTTTCATTTTATAATAATGATAATTATATAATCATCATAAAATTATACTATAAAAAAGATTTTTAGAAATCATCATATATGTATAATAATGCATCAATTATATTTATAATACAAAAATATATAGTATTATATACAGAGCATAGAATAATATATGCATCATAATAATATATAACATATAAAAAGTAGTATATAAATTATTATTATTAAATTATAATAATTATATAAAACAATTATTTCTGAACGTACATTCTAAAATATGACGTACAATTATTATACTAAAATAGAAATCAAGAAAATAGATGAGAAAATCTAGAATCTTAGAAAATGAAACATTAATATTGGAAACTTAATCATGATCAATAAAACCCTGAATCCTAAAGCTTAACTTTGTACTTTCAACATTTTTTTCTCATTACCACTTTAGGCTACTCTATTATAATGTATTCATAAAAACAAATTAGTTCATTATATTAAATGTTATTATATTCATATTAATATGCTTCCGAGCTATATGATATACTATATTTATTATCCTTTGAATTATTGTATATTTCTTCAAATGAAACAAATGATTTAAGCACATCCTTATTTTGTTTATTCTTCTTTTCCATTATATTCCATGCTTTATATTGTAAAAATGGTAAGTGATCTTTATACTAATAAAAAACAATTATATTTATACGAATGTATCATTTATTAATATATGAATTTCACAAATCACCATAATATAAATTATATTACAATATACGATTCTTAGTTTAAATTTTATTTAACCTTATACCCTATGAATATAAGTGCAATAATTGAAAATATTGAAACAATCAATATTGTAATTATTGCTTTAGCTAGAACCTTTTCTGTTTGTGGTTCTATCATTCCATCTATCCCATCTACTGCACCGTGTATCGCTTCTTCAAATTTTATTACTTTGATTGGTTCTGCTTCTTTTGACCGCATTTCCCGAGAAGTTTGATCTTCAGAAATAGATTTATCAGGTTTCCGAACCGAATCCATCTGAATTTTAACAAATTCTTCCCGTAATTTCAGAATATGATGGCAAAAAAAATTTTTTTTTCCTCTACAATTTCCTAAAATAGAATTAATACTATTTAAAGAGGTATTCTTAAGATGGTAGTAATATTCTGTATATTTTTTTAAAAGATAAAGTTTATAATATAGTAAATCCAGATATTTTATCATTCCATATGTTGTTTCATTAAAATGTTCACTATAAATATGTACATTCTTACATACACTAAAAGCATCTTTATATACTTGTTCAGAATATTTATTTAACATTTTATAATAACAATCTTTCACTTTTTCACCTTTAACGTTATATGATTCCAGTAGAAGTTTTAGCTTGTAAAAGAAATAATTACAACTTGCATGCACATAATTATTTAGATAACTGGATGCGGGCATTTTTTCATTTCTACGATTTAAATAGGCTGCAATATATTGACAACCTTTTAAAAAATTTTCATCATATTTTGACTTATCAGTCAGTATATCAAGTCCGAATTCATTACACATTCTAGAAATATTATCGGATAATTGTTTCTAAATCATTTCTTCAGTAGCTATATTATAATCTTCAGCACATGTGGGAAATATTAAATTAAAACCCCCCTGAAATTAAAATAAATATATTTAAAAAAAATAATTATATTATTTTTTTTTAAATGTATATTTTTTCAGGTTCTTATAAAAAAAGATAATTTAATAAAAATTGATACATACATCATTCGACATAGACCTTCTTGGCGACATCATACCATGTATATATAAATTAATAGAAAAAATATTTTAGTAATTTCTTCTTATAAAATTTTTATTCTGTTAAAAATATAAGAATAATTATAATATTGATGATATACTTAATAAATATTATAAATATATAAATTTGTAAACAAATCTATATATTGATATTTTTTTAGAATTATACATGTTCGTAGTTTATCCATCATGCTTATTATTGGATAAGAAAATAATATTTTTATATAAATTCATAAAAGAAAAAATATATATATAATATTGTAATTATATAGAAACATTAAATTATAATAGATTTTTATATTCATATAAAAAAAACAAACTATGACAAAAAAGTAATTAGTTTTAATAAATTAAATGAAATATAAACTTATGCTTCAGGAGTTTCATTTGAAATTTAGAATATATTTGTGTGGATACATGGAATAATACATAACATACGTATTATTATTGTATATAAATTGTAAGATAATGAGATTAATTATTTATTCTAATATTAGATGTATATATTACCATTATAGCAAATATATATATGATTTTATAATGCATATGATATTATTATTATACAAAATATAAATTTAAAAAAACTTGTAATGAATGATTGTATCAATAGATTTATTGAATGATTATTTGTATTATGTGCATAAAAACTTAATAATATTATTATATTTTTCATTATTTCTTTATTTACTTAAACATTATTAATCAGCATTAAAATAATAATACAATGCATATAAAACATTTATATCATTTTATAAAGTAATGTTTTTCATTATTTTAATATAATTAAGAAAATTTTATTTTATTGAAATTTTTTTTTGTGTGAATTTTAACAGAATCTATCTCTTAAAAGGAAAATAATTTCTTTGTATTCCTCTCTAAATACATGTAATTTAATTTTAATTATTATTTATATTATATATTAAAAAATATAATAATTATATTAATTTATAATTTTAATGAAAATTATTTGTAAAATAAAATTTTGACTTTTTATAAAATAAATAATATAGCATACTTAATTTATTTTCACGTTAGTGGATAATTAATGAATAAGCTCAATTTTATATGATTTTATTTTTAAACCTTATTCTTCTTGCTTATTATTACCTGTAGTAAATTTCATTCACAATATCCAAAGTGTAATATTTCTAATAAGAAACAAAATAATATATGTAATATTATAATTAACTTTATATATGTTATAGATAGTTAATTTGAAAATTTACATGCATATTATAATTATACACTTTATTTAACGAAAAATTGACTTGTTCATTAAAATTCTTAATTTATTATATAGATATATATGATATAAATATTTAGTACTATAAATCATAATTATAAATACAATATATATATGATTTTTTGAAATTATTTTTTTCGTGAATAAATTCATTATATATAAATTGTAAAAAAGGAAGTAAAATTTGCTTTCGTGTTAAATAGGAAATTATAATTCCATAAAAACATATAATTTATTATAAACATTTTATTATATTACATTAATTAAGATTATTTTATGAATTTCCTTCTCACGAGCCACAATTCTATTACGAAATTACCCATTTTGAACAAAAATAATATTGTATATATCTAATTTATATAGTAAATAACAATATTATTTATATATATATAAATTGTTTACATAATAAAGGAATACATGTTTAAAATATAACATAGAATGTATATATTATATAAGTAAATAAATATTTATAGTAATTATCCTTAATAATTAAATTATGAACGAAATCTGAAAAAAATATAATTTTTTATGTGAAATGATGCAATATATAGTTGTATTTATTGAAAAATTTGTTATAAATAACAAAATAGAAATAAATATTAAAATTTATAATTATATTATCTATACGTATTTTGGAATATCATTAAATCATAAATTATCATGATATAAAGTAATATTTTTGCCACATATTCTGTTTTTATATTCTTTGAAGTAATTCCATATAGTTAATTTTATATAATATTATTATTAAAACGCTTTTGATTATATATCAAATTTTTGTATATATAATGTTGCTTTTAATATAAAATAATAAGCTGATAGAATTTGTTCCTTCTTTTGAATAAAAATTTGAATTACCATAAATATTATTTATATAATGTTCGATAATATGTTTTTTAAATTCCACAAAATATATTTTTACTAATTTTATAACATTTCATTTGATATATGATAAAACAGAATTATGATAAAATATTATGGAAACAAATAATTATATAATTTACAGTGTAATTATGCGTATAATATTATATTACTATGCATAATATTATAATTCTTATAATTTGTTATATAATAATTTAAATAAAATAATTATAAAAATAACAAAATAGCAGAAACAACAAGAATATGATGATCATTTTATGTATATACTTAGAATATAGTAAATATAATAGCTGTTATAATATTGATATACTATTTCCTCATCTATTTCTTTTTGTTCAGCAATATTTTCAATCAATAATATTTCTTTTTTAGATATATTTATCTTAATTTCTTTACTTATTATGCCTATAAAACCAGTGTGTTTTTGTAATTCGCACCAAATATATATATTACAAGTATGAGCGTTAAAAAATATTCTTAACGGAAAGTTTTATCCTATGTACTTTTATTATTGAATAATTATTTTTTCCATATGTATGTTTTGATCTTATTGTACATTGTATATTCATACAACAATACTATGAACAAAAGGAAAAAATTTTTTTATAAAAAAATATTAAATTTTCAATGATTGTATTTAAAAAATTAAGCATAGCACATAAGATAAAATTAACTAAATCTATATTATTGTTTAGTAGCATAAAATTTAATTTTTTTACGAGAGATTTGTTTTATGATAACATAATAATATCAAAGAAATGTACAATAATGTCAATATAGACAGTTATAATATTTCAAGTACTACAAGCCTAGAGAAAAAAAAAATATATTGGTAATGGTCATTAATACATAAAATGATAGAGCAGGTTTCTTCTCTCAATATAATATATATACTTTATCAGATTTAAATTCAATTAAAATAACATTATTCAAGTAGATACTGAATTCAACAATTTGCATAAGTATATTGGTAATATAATTTTAAAGGTTAATAATCAATATATATTTATATTCTTCAAAGCACTGTATAAAGATTTTTGCTAATTGGATAACAGAGATAAATTTAAAAATTACAAAAACTTTCGTAGTTAAAAGTTATTAAAAAATATAATAATTTAATAGTTTTTCATTATAATAAAAAAATGTTTTTAAATATAAGCAATAAGATGCAAAATCATATGATCTAACTTCTTTGGATATATGCATGATAGTTTTAAAAGTGAGTACCGAAAAGAAATAAATTAAAATTATTATGTTGAAAAAGTATATTTTATAATATATTAGAATTTATTATAATATAAAATATAAAGAATGCATTTAAGATACTATCATCTATCAATTGATAAAACAAATTATTTTCATTTGAACATCAATTTTTTGTCATTATATCATTATTAGCACTTTCTTTTTTTAATGTGTACAATATAAATAGACTATATATTAATTTATCAAATTTTGTTTAATATATTTATCCATTAGGTATATGGAATATTAATTACACATACATTTCGGCATTCGAGAATTGATTTCTCTGTGTAAATAACTTTATATAATTCAATTTTATTTTTTTATAATTTTTCATATAATTAAGAAAAAGAAAATATCTAACTCATGGTATAATAGGAATGATATAATAATTCAAAGACACATAGTTCTAATAAAAATACAAAAATGCATCCTTACAGATGAACACGGTACTTTTTTTAATATATTTAATAAATACTTATAATAATAAACGCACAATTAATTTAATATATATATCATAATACTACATACATTGGCGTATATTAATTATGTAATAAAAAAACAAACATAAATAATAAAACATAATACTTTATATAAAAAAAATTTCCAAAAATATTTATGAAATAAACATTCTACATGTGAGTAATATGGAGTGTGTTATTTTATTAGGTTTAATTATAAATGTAATGTTATACATATGCATTGAATTATGTTATATAATATTTGAATATTATCCACACAATTGAATATTGTAATATTACTTAAACAAACAATATTTGATTTATATTTTTATATTAGAAAATATTAACATTTTATGATGAAAACCTATATATCTATTATTTAATTAAAAAACAATATATATCTAATAATTTAAAAAAATGTATTTTTCATATTACATCTTTTTTATTACACTGTTTAAAAAATGTAATTTTTGTCATCATATTTCTTAAATTATCTTAAACAACATGGAAGGTATATATATTTTTTAACTATTTCAATATTAATAAAATATGTTTTCTTATTTTTATTATCTAAAATATAAATTAAATATATATCTTAATATGATTAACATTATTGTTTAATTTATTATTAAATAATTTTGTGTATCATACTTAGCCTATATGGAGAATCATACAAAAAAAAAATTTCTTACAATAATTCTTATTAATATATACGAACGGATCATTTCTTAATGCTTGGCATTAATAATTATATCTATGAATAGCAATAGAAAGATAAGTTATTTATATAAAATTATTATTTATTCTATTTACACAAAATATAAATCTAAACAATAATATACACTAAATAATAAGAATATCATATATATATTTTGGACAATATATGTACATTTTTCAATATAAGATGTAAGAAAAAAAATATATATCTACTAGAATAACCTTGGGGACACAAGTTTTGAGATGTACTGAAAACATAATTTTAATTGAAAATTACCTGATGCAGAAATAAAATATTATATTGGAGATGAGATATCACTAGGAGTTCCACTATTATCATTGGATTTTTTTAATAAGAAAAATGAAAGTTCATATAAACTTTGCGATATATTTATATTAATTATCTGGAGAATGCTTCCTTTTTTTTTTTTTTTTTATTATATAAGGTA